AGTGTGAGAGTGTGTGAGTGTGTGTGTGTGTGTGTGTGTGTGTGTGTGTGTGTGTGTGAGTGAGTGTATGAGTGAGTGAGTGAGTGTATGAGTGAGTGAATGAGTGAGTGAGTGAGTGAGTGTATGAGTGAGTGAGTGAGTGAATTAATGAATGAATTAATAGAATAGAATAGAATAGAATTTTACTGACCCCAAACAATATGTAGTGTATGTACATGTTTCACCAGCCCAACACAGCAATGATGGCAACTAATATTAGCTTAGACAAAAGTAGTTTGGACTACCTATTTGTCAAAATGAAAGATGGAGGACTTTTTGGAAAATCTGTCTGGTTACAATTTTTATTATTTTCATATTTAATTATTTTTGGTGCATATATGCTGCACCTTTAAGTGAGGCTGTTACATGAGCAGGAGAAGCTGGTCTATTTTCTGCCCAAATCCCATTAGTGGATTAACCAAGATGGAGGGCCAGTTAACTCTTTGTTTGCTTCTGAAATTCAGTTTTGTTGTTCTACCGATTCTGTATAGATAAATGTTGGTGTCATTTGCTAAAGTATGCTGTTCATTAGATATTATTTAAATACTGAAGATGAGATAAAATAGGTTGAAAGAAGCTAGAATGAATAGAAGGCAGCATGCTGACGAGTTGTTGTCAGTTAAATAAAATGAAACACAAGCTGGTATTAACAGACTGTGTGGTCTGTCTGGCAGAAACAAAACAGAAAAGATCCCACGCTCACTCAGCCTTTCCAATGAGAGTTAAGACATTATTTAAGAGTGCAAGACATTAAATTCAAACAGCAGGAGAAAGATTTAACATGCCTGTTGTGCCAACAAACCATCATTTATACATTCATATGGTTTGTATTAATGTGTTTATGCTCTATAAAATAAGAAGAATGCTACTATCAGAGATTATGAATCTGTCTCTGGGTTTAGGAAGTTTGAGATGGATTTATTAAATTAGGAGCCTAGAACAGCGGGAGGACTGAACCCTGTTCCAAGACGGCAAGACTATTTCAACTATGTATTTACTTTGGAATCTAATAAAATAAAATAAAATGTGATCCTCTTGGGTACAGCAAGTCCTTACAGCTAGTCTTACAACAAGATGAAAAGTTATTGGAAGTTGAATTCGGTCTAGCTTTAGTATCTGTAGGCTGTGTATGATGAATTGGGGTGAGCTTACATCCCTCCTGTTCTCCCACTCACTAAATAGTCTGTGCTTTGGCGTTAATGATGTTACATAAGCGACTGTTTTTTTCATGTGGCTTATTCCAGTCGACTGGCATTGCATCAGTAGGCTCTCTACAGCACTCTAGCCTTTAAAAAGACCACACACACTCTGAAAACAAAAGGGAAATGAACATGAAAGGGGGGCAGGGTACTCACAGGTCCGCTCTTGAGCCATAGATGGAGTATTTGACCACACCCCAAAGACCAGAATCAGGATCTGTGGCCTGCAGAGAGCATAAGGAGCAAACGTCATCCACTGGCATCTGTTCCCACACATAACTGTAATGCCAACATCTACGTAACCGAACAGATGACATTTTGAGCCAAAAGGCAGAACATTAGGAGCAATGTGGGATTTGTTAATCAGACTACATCATTATTTCCCTTGTACTCATGGTTGAAGCATGTTCTTATGTCCAAGGTCAAAATCGGTCAGGTAATTTAACAGATTGTATTCTGGAAAGAGGCAGGCTAACTCCCATTTGGCAAGTGCCTGCTTCCACAGGTGAGGGTTTATCTCAATAGGGTTCAATCTCTCTATCCACTGATGAAAGGTGGAGTGCCAGATGTTTAGACCCTGATATGACAGAAATGAGTTTAGCATCATACCTGCATAGTGGTTAGATGTGGAGAATAACTTTCAGGAAATTTATTTCAGGGTCTATTTTTCTCCAAAGTCTCTTTTCCTCACAAAGACTGCATTTTTAAAATAAAAAATATAGTAGAAACAGTAATATTTTCAAATATGATCACAATTACAAATGTTATATATATTTTAATATGTGATTTATTCCTGTGATGGCAAAGCTGAATTTTCAGCAGCCATTACTTCAGTCTTCAGTGTCACATTCTGAAGGATCATGTGATAAAATAAAATGTATATATATATATATATATATATATATATATATATACAATTTATAATAATGAATTTATATAATTTATTAATCTATTCTTAATAAATATTTTGAACAGTAGTGCTTTTTATCCATAAAGGCCTTCTATTGTTTTTATGCCTTCATAAAAATACATTCACTATAATGTGTTTGTTCATATAAAATTAAAAAAGACATTTTACCATGATAAGTATCATACTGTAATTTTGTAGTAAAAAACAAAACAAAAAAACTATTACCATTTTGTTCAGTATTTTGGCACAAAAAGAGATGTGATGTTATTGCCACCTGAATGCTATAATGATATGACCACATCATGATATTTTTTTTCTATTATATCTCAAATCTGGGGTTTTAGTGTTACACAACTGAATGAAAATGATAGCCATCTGGCAGCTTACTACGTAATAGACTGTTTAACAAGCATTCACATACTGAGCATGATTTTGGATTCTGATCCAACCCCTCAAATGTTATATTTAGATTAATAATGCGTCTTTTTTCCGTAACAGAGAACAGTCTGGAGAGGATGACAAACATGTTAATCTTTTTTGCTTATAAAATTTATATCACATGATCCTTCAGAAATTCATTCTGTAGTTCTTATTATCACAGTTGAAAACAGCTGTGCTGCTGGTGGAAACCATGATATATATTCTTTAATTAATAGATAGTTAAAAAAGAACAGCATTCATTTTATTTATATATATATCAAATTTATATATTACTGGAATCCGGGCGATGTAAAAATCAGAGGAGAATTTGGGAGCATTATCATTGGTGTCTAGCAGATGAATGATTATGTCTGCCGTGGCACTGAATCTCTCAGGGGTGTCAATCTCTATAGCGAGGAGCTGGAAACAATAAGCATAATATATTTCTACTACTGGTAACATATTACTGAACACTGATTAATACTTCTATATGTATAACAGTGTTGGATCATTCTCAGGCCATTTGTGTCTTATTTGTGTCCCTATACATGATTAAGGAAATTATTTTAAATATTTAATTTCGGTAAACTTCAGTTATCATTTGATGCCAATTTTCATTTTCATATTGCCATTACATTTTAACAAGAAAAAGATAAGATGTAGATGCAGAAGATTTCTAAGACCCAATGAAATTCTGCATTTTATTGCACTTTAAAGTCAATTAAAGCATAAAATCCACTGTTTCCTTGAAACATGCATGTCTGTATTACATAGCATACACAACACATTTCTTGGTTCATTATTTGTCCATGTACTCAGGATTCTACTCAAAATTCTATTTACCTTAAATGTCAAGAATTGTGATTTCTCAAAATCCATTGCAGCAGAATCCTCTACCAGGACGGTGACTTGGGCTTCATTCAGGACGGTTTGAGGGACCACTCGTAACATGCGGCCTGGGCCCACCAGTCTGAGGTGAAATTTTGCATTTGATCCCTGAAAACGCACAGTATAAACACAAAACTCTCATGCAGGGCTAATATAGAGAACTATTAAGAATACTGAGTTGGCACGAGTCAAAACTATTTTAAATGAATGGCAAACAATGACTGTTAGGATGATCAGGATAACATCATAATTTCGGCAGTTGTGCTCACTCATGTGATCTTATTGTGAGTAATGAATTCTGTATCTCAATGTGACTAAATGCTGAATAAATAAAGAGTTCTGGCATGAAACTCTAGATGGCGCAGTCCGATAGGTCTAACTCAATCTGACGTAATGACATCATTATCACATGGCACAGCTGATTGGTTCTCTCCTGTATCGGTAGCCAATAAGCTCGCTGCTCAACATTCAAATATATGACTAGTGCTTGCCATAGCAGCTGCAGCTTGCTTCAGAACAGCGAAATCAACATCTAAGATAAGTGAATGCCCCACTTTATAGAAACAGCCTTTGTGCACAGACGCATTGTAGGCTACTCTGCAGGTTCTCCATTAAATGCGCTGCACACATCTGAATATTTGGGTTGAACTGTTCTGGAACAGTGTTTTAAATACAACTTAACCACTGATTTGTAGTTGTGTCCTCTTTTGGAAGGCCAAACAAAGTAGTTTCGCTTTCACAACGAAACACACAGCATCACACACGGCCGGTGGGCTTGAGTGAGGAATGGCTGGCGGGCTTGAGAATGGCGCGGCCGGCGGGCTTGCGGCAACCACATGTGACGACCCCGGGCTGGACTCCGCTTCGTCCATGGTGAAAGCTGATCCGGCGATCCACAGCGTGAAGTTGATGTATTTCCTCAGCGGCCAGCACGGATCAGCTCTAGGCATGACGAAGCGGATATCATCCTCTTTTGGAAGGCCAAACAAAGTAGTTTCGCTTTCACAATGAAACACACAGCGTCTCCACGACATGGCGGCAGCGGCAACAATACTACAGCGAGAATAAAAGTTACACCTTCTTTCTTTGCGTGAACATTTGGGTGGTGTTATGCAAATCTTCCCACACAGTGATGTAGACATGTGGGGGCGTGTTTAAACGAGGCATTTTAGGAGGGCGTGGACAAGTCTTAACTTTTATAAAGAATATTTCTTTGGGTTTGAGATTTTAGTCTTTGCAACTTTAGGGATCTTATCTATGCACGAACTGGCATGATACTCTAGATGACGCAGTCCGATAGATCTAACTCAATCTGACCTAATGACATCATTATCACATGGCACAGCTGATTGGTTCTCTTCTGTATCGGTAGCATATAAGCTCACTGCTCAACATTCAAATATATGACTAGTGCTTGCCGTAGCAGCTGCAGCTTGCTTCAGAAACCCTCCACCTTCCCCAGCTCCACCTGTATAGGTCTGCTACGAGGTCATGTATGCTATATGGGTTTATTTCATGTATGTTATATTTGCAGCAACAATATTTCTTACATGCTCACAGCAGCACGTTGTGGATGTATTGGCAGTAGCAAGTCTCGGTACTTGCTCTGCCGCAGCAACAGCAGCGTATCAGATCTATTCCGCCAAGACCAAATACATTACCATTACCATGTCAATCCCTCCGAGAGTTGTCATGACAGAACTAAAAATATTGCATAATATGACAAAAGGGATCGACTGCTTGTTTGGGTGCCATCCTGTCGTTTATGTAACATAAATGACAATGTTTATTACAACTGAACCCTGCTCATGGAAGTAATACAATAAACTAATGGCGCCTTGTTGATTTTAAATAATGGTTGATCTGTACTACAAAATTACTGCAACTCAATCAAGCTTTTATTAAATTCTCTTAAAACAAGGAACAGATAGCCAGATTTTCTTTCTAATGTTTATAAATCTGCATGCACTAATTTTAGCTATGACAAGCCTGTAACCTACTGCTAAAGAAAATTCTACACACCTGGTCGGAGTCATTGACTGTAATTTTCAAGCCCCTCAGGAACTCTCCCTCTGGAGGATGTTCATACATAGTTAACTCAAACACGTTCTGTGGTCCATTTTCTCCAAAGAATGTGGGTGGATGGTTGTTCAGATCCACTACCCGAATGGTCACTGTGGTGACTGCAAAGTCCAAGCGTTTTCCTTCTGGACTGACCTCTGAAGCCTGAAAAATTAAGACATTGTTGATTATTTATAACTAATTCTAAATTCAATTATACTAAGCAAAATGTTATGCCATGTTATAATAATTGGCTTGACATACTCTTGTAATGAGGATGCACATGTTTTAGATAGCTACAGTAAATAGCATGGACAGAAATAGATTTTAGTAATTGGCTTATTCCTGAAATTGGCTTACGCTCTGTCTCAAGTCAGAGATCAGGGGGACAGCAATGTCTAGTAACCAAACATCTGATGCCAGATAAAAACAGAAGCTGGAGATTTTACCTTGACTTTAATATTAAAGATTTCTCTCCTCAGTTCTGCGGGGTACACCTTCAGAGTGCTACATCCACTGGTTTTATTGATGGCAAAAACCCCATCTGCTCCTGAATCAATAGGTTGAGAATTTGCTGACGTTTTGACCAGTGGTGTGGAATTGAAACATCAAAATGAAATTTCTTTCCAGCCATCTAAAGATGTGCAAAACAAATGCATTTTCATATAAACCAATAATACATACCAGATTCTATTGAATATATGATTGGATTTGGATTATCCATGTCTCCATCTTTGGCAAAAACTGTAAATATCTCAGATCCCTGTAGACAAAATTAGATCTTAGACAAGGAGCAGTAACGTTTGCATAGTTTGATTTTTGGTAAAACCTTAATCTGAACCTGAATCTCAAAAAGTGATAGGGTAACATTAGCAAATAGTTAATAAGAAGATATTTGAATGTATTCTAGAGAACAGCTGTAATTTTTCTTGATATTTGGTAGGGGATAAGCTATCCTGTCCTTACAGTATGTGTGCAATAGCACAGTATAGTCTTTTCCAGCTGATTTAAAGGGTTAGTTCACCCAAAAATGAAAATTAGCCCATATTAAACAGCTTGAAAGATCAAAGACAATTTTTAATATAACTCCGACTGGATTCGTCTGAAAGAAGAAAGTCATATACACCTAGGATGACTTGAGGGTGAGTAATTTATGGGCTAATTTATCATTTTTGGGTGAACTAACCCTTTTAGCTGCATGCTGCTCAGATAGAATGAGACATCTGTGCCGCTCCACAAATATTTTAGCAAGTTCAAACTTTAATGTGGACAACCTCTACGTCTACTTTTATTCAGCAAGAATTGACAAAAACTGACAGTAAATACACTTATGTTACAAAAGATTTCTATTTCAAATAAACGCTGGTCAAACATTGAAAATAATAAGACATGTTTCTTAAGCACCAAATCAGCATGTTAGAATGATTTCTGAAGACTGGAGTAATGGCTGCTTAAAATTCAGCTTTGCATAACAAGATTAAATTACATTTTAGATATTTAAATTTAAATTAGATATTTAAAATAGATATTTTAATACACAATATTCCTGTTTCACTGTATTTGTAAATGACACATACATTAACATTTATGTTTGAGTAGTTAATCACGTTAAATCATTCTGAAGTGTGCTACGATGGATACTCACAGGCGAGGAGACCTCATAGACATAACCAAAGTAAGGAGTCCCAACAAACACAGGGGGAGTGTCTTGAGTGTCAATCACATTTATTGTCAAAGTGGCAGATGATGACATCACTTGTTGCTTGCCCTTGTAAATGCCACCTCCATCCTGAAAATAAAAGTTACTGTTATTTCCTATTTCATTAGGAGGCAAGAAATAATAATAGCCTAAGCATTAAAATGAAGATCAGTTGGAAATGTGCGCTGGAAATGAAAAACTAAGCTTGAACTGGTAAAATAAGGAGAACGAAATCATGCTGTCTCACCTTTGCCACCACAGTGATGAAATGTGTGCGGGATTTCTCATAATCGAGGGTTTCACCTGGTTTTATCCGCAGCACGCCACTATGGTGGTCAATGGCAAATTTTGTGCTCGGTTCACTGCTCTGGATTTAAGAACAAACAGAGATTCTAATGAAACTCTGCATAAGGGAGGCAAAAGAAAAAAGATATACTGTGCTTTCATGACCTTTATTTCAGATTTGATCTCTCAACCTGATGCCAGATGTTACCTGGAGGAAGTAAGTGACTGATCCCCCTGAGCCGGCGTCTCTGTCCACTGCCTGCACTTTGTAGATGCTACTCCCAGATGTAGTGTTCTGTGCACACACACATATACAGTTTTCAAACAAGCCTGTTTATTCAGATCACATTCAAATCAAAACCATTTTTGATGGCCAGGTAGTTTCAAAAACATATTTTATGGAACCTAAATAATGTAATAAAGTATAATTGAAAACAAAGAGACATAATTCCTCACCTCTGGCACATCTACAATGGAAGGCATGTTCTGTGGAAACTGTGGTCTCTCATCATTGGCATCCATGACAAAAACTGAAACCTTTTCAGCTACCTGACATCACACAAGAGCATTAAAAAGATCTATACAAAACTCATAACATACACCGGATAAGACTCATAAATCAACAATGCTTACTTTATTAAGGCCATCTGAGATACTGACAAAGACTTCAATCTCATCTTGTGCCTGTGAAAATAAAAAGATGTACTGTACAGTAGCATCACTGTAGTATTCTCAGCACATTTAAAACATTACACATTTTGAAATTTACCTCTCTGTCGAGTTCCTCTATTAGAGTTACTGCTCCTGATTTGGGATGAACACGAAAATATTCTTTGGATCCGGGTTCAAAGGTCATTCCATACTTTACAGGCTGGCCTTCTGGGTCGGTTCCATTAAGAACATATATCTGTGTTCCTGTAATTTACATTTGAAAGTAGTTATTTCTGTGCTTTTATAATTCACACCAGTCAAAACGACCTCTTCAGCAGTGGTTCTCAATTAGGGGCCTGGGGCCCCAAAAGGGGGCCTCAAGAAGATGTAAAATAATCTACAATAACCTTAAACTATTGGATGGTCATCGGGCCTTTGAATATACATACCACAATCAACAACAAAAGTCAAAGGGCAAAATACTGTTAATTTTAATACTGTTTACACCTAGCCAGAGTGATATTAATATAATCAGATGGTACAAAAATTTGACCGTACCTTTTGGCGTATCCTCTGAGAGATTTAACAGTGCCATATTACCGTTGTTACTGTTAGGCCCATTATCATAGAAATAGGGTGCGTAGTCAGTCTGTGCTGTAAACAACAATGAGATATCACGCTAAAATACCGCATTTAACAGTGTAACATAACCAGACTTATAAGGACAAGACATCATGTGCCTACAACAACTGTACCTATTACAATATTTGACATTTATCTGTCACAAGGTTGAACACACATGGCATAATGTAATAATACTAATGACTGTCTCTATCTACTTGTCTAGGATTACAGGTGTTTTATGTCATACACGCTTCAATATCCCCTGGTTTATCAAAGGTATTTCACTATATAAATTCATTTATGAAATGAATTTGTATCTAAATGTAGATTTAGAGTTAGTTTTCTTTCAGGGAAGTCTCTATTTGCTCACCTCCTACTGTCAATCAGAAATAAAGGTGATGCAAATGAGACAAAAAGGCCAAAGAAGTAGATTTCAAGATTATTTACATTAGTCAACAGTGTAACACAATCAAGTAAAGGAATGTTTAATCGCCTGAGCCACATCCATATTCAAAGATGCTGATGAATACATACCAAAGCAGAAATGTGCTAGCAGAAGAACGGATGAAAACTGCATTTCCAAATCATTCTTCATCCTAATAAAGCAAAGCAGTTACAGCAGGCCAGACAGCACACTAGTGAAGAGAGCTACGGCAGTGTCCTTCTGAGGGTGTTTATTTCAGATTGAGGAGAGCTAAAGCAGGTGCTAAAAGCCTAATCCAATGACACGCCTTAACCCTTGAGCACATCTTTAGAAGCCCATCTTTGCAGCACACCAACTAATGACCACTAGAGGGGTTCACGAGTAGCACACCTGACCTGATATGACAGGTTAGAGTCTCTTCTTAGTTATAGTATTACTGAAATCCCACTTTCGGAATGCTGGAGCTCTGTTACAAAGGAACAATCACCAATGAATACTGAAGAAATATTATGAAAATAGTCACCCAATTTTTAGAGTAAAACTTAAATGATCTTTTTGTGAATGAATGAATACATAAATAAATAAATAGCACGTTTGTAAGCACTCATCAGACATTTTACAGGCCTTTTAGCAGATGAATCGTCTTAATCTCTTTGACAATCCAGTTTATATTACAGAGCACGTTCAGGTCACATTTAAAACAAAGTTATGTAATCTCATACTCATCAGCATTAGCAAATACCTCGATCTCACTCTTTCACGACCTTTATCATTAGAGCTTTTTAACATTAAATTATGCTCAGAGTTGAAGTTTAATGCTCAACAAAATATTTTACAGTCAGGTTCTATAGTTTCTCCAGGTCAAGAGCTAATGTGGATGATTTAGTAGAAAACATTAGAATGAAGAAAAAATATTTATATGCATAAATATAGTGTTCAAAACTACAAATTAAAAAATTCTATCAAATAAATAAGGATGGATGAAAGTGTATTACTGACTTCAAAAACGATCACACTGCAAATTCTAATCAAGTTTCAAAATCAAGTTGCCATATAGAATTAAAACTGTTTTCGTATTACTTTTTGCTCAGATGAGCAGCTGTGTGGATCAGAAAAGGAAACACCTGCCAATTTACCTTCATCTACATTTGTGAGTGTGGCTTTACTTTCAGGTTTAATTTGTTTGGAGCAGGCAGATGGCAGGCAAGCAGATTAACCTACAATAATCCTTCATCATCGTGTAGTGCTCAGGGCCAGTCTACAGGGACACACAAGCTAGAAGCGTCTCTGCATGTACACCACAGAAAACACTGGACTCTGGCAGATCTGGATATATCGATTACCTTATATGACTGTGAAAATGTTGCCTTGATAATGCTCATGATTACCAGATTTGTTGCAAAGCTCTTGCTTTTTCTATATAATGAAATAATAAAGAATTATGATCATTTTGATAAATAATATTTAAAAACATGAAACTGTTTGCATTTCTGTTTGGTTTTACAATCAGAGGGAAAAAGAAAAGTAGGTCAAAAATCCAGTTTATTGTAAGATTAACCCTGGAAATTTCTTGTATATTGTGATCATGTGCGTCAGTCATACATCAGCAGCATGGATTATATGGAAAAAATAGAAACTCTGAATGACAGACAGATTTGCCATTTATGCAAAATATTATCATCTTCTTAAATCTGTTTCTGGCGTGACTATAAAAGGTCTTAGATATCGCTTTTATTGTGATAATCCTGGCATGGGCTAAAATGGGACATGAAAAAAGTTTACAATGGAAAGAAACCTCAAATGGCATTCTGGGTCTGTTATAGTGATTTTCAATTATAACAGCACTATTTTATACAAAATAAACAACAAATTCAGATTCCTACAGTAAATAACATGTACACAACTCAATATTTATAAAATTTCAGAATTAATTTCCAATGCATGTGTGGCTAAATTGGGACCATCAACTATTTGGAAAATTAACTAAAATTTAATAATTTAACTTAATTTAACTATTGAAATCCCAGTTTCAATATTAATGTGTAACTATTAAATATATAAAGATCTAAAATCGTCAATCCACATGTTTGAATGCACTGCTAGGATTACAAATAAATTTTGGATTGGATGCAATGTCTGGGTCATCAACATATTAGGGTCATTTTAATCTTGCAAACTTCAGTTCATCTGAAAATGTATTATGTATTCTAGCTCAGAGTTTAAGCTTTTTACGTGGTTTTCCAATTTTGATAACACCCAACTTGGCAGTAGCTATTACCTATTAGTATAGCCTTTATGCTACAACTGCAGTATAATTTGACTATTCGACAACAAAAGCGATGGGAATGTGAATTTCATGTCAATATTTTATGTCACTGTACTTTGTTAAAAATTGTAGACCGTTTATATCACTGTAAGTCACTGTTATAGTCACTAACACTGTACATCACCGCCCCCGCGTGTTTACAAAACGTTAATGCTGAACGTTTCGAGGCTTTCCCTCGTGGCACCGCTGGACCTAGAATACTTCAACAGTCTATTTATTTAAGTGATCCTATAGGGGTCATTCGGTGCACTACAGCATCACATCAAGTACACGAAACATACACGAAAATAAAAATAGATAGTAGCCGTCTATATCAATCTGGACATCAGACGTTACTACATTACAACTAATTAGGCTAGGCTACTGATTGCCAGCACTGTTTTATCTAAATAAATAATCAGAAATACGCTTATTTACACTGTTTAAAAAAGATTCCCTAATCATTTCTGGTTTACACTTTAACAATAAATGTGGTAACCTAATAAACCATGATTTCGAAAGTATTTTTAAAGGGACACTAAGGTGCGTCGTAATTCGCACAATCAAGTTTTGCCCCATTACTCATTCAGTGAGTGTACGAGTTCAGTCTCCGTGATCTAACGCAGCGTGTTTTATCCTAGATTCCAGACCCCTCGACTCCCCACAAGCAAAAGGGGGATGCAGAAATCCACGTAGTGTCCCAGGGCCCTCTCCTCAAACAGAAAAGCCCTTGTGAACACTCACATTGGGGGTTCTTACTTGACCACGTGACGTGTATCCAATAATAGCCCAAACTTGGAGACCGCCGAGAAATGGACACGTTTCCAGCATGCTGCACCGGAGAAAAGCGCAAATGGAGATAAATGAATAAGAGGCTTTCTTCAATGCCGTGAGAATCTGGACATAACTTTAGAACCCTTCAACTTATGAGTTACAGCAAAAATGTCTAAGTTGGAACTGTCTTAACAATGACCGTATTATCAAATATTAACTTTATAGTGTAATTAGCGTTTTCACTCACGCACATAAGTGCAGTTCTTTGGAGTCGTCACATAAGCGCAGGAACAATGTGTACCAGACGCGATCATTCAGGATGCTCCAGATGAACTACTGGAGACCCGTTCAGTCTGTAAAGTAAGATTTAATTCAGTCTAGCTAGTTTACCACAATCGCATAGTATTCACTTTCACCTCTGCCAAAGACCTGTAAATGCTTTTACAGCAACATTACAATAGTAATCTTTGAGTTTGTTCTTTTCTGTCATTTTATTTACCTCACACTGAACAATCTATCTATCTATCTATCTATCTATCTATCTATCTATCTATCTATGTATCTATCTGTCTATCTGTCTGTCTGTCTGTCTGTCAGTCTGTGATTCTTCTTACAAGAAAGCATAATTTTTGTTATTTGAGAAAATATCACAACTTCATATAAATCTGTGATGTGGACAAAATACAATCTAATCTAAACACTAATTTAAAATATTAATTTCTTTTTAAAATTTGTCTATATTTCTTGAAAACAAAAACTAAAAACACATTGTTTCTTCGACCTTCTGTCCATCATCTATCTATCTATCTATCTATCTATCTATCTATCTATGTATCTATCTGTCTATCTGTCTGTCTGTCTGTCTGTCAGTCTGTGATTCTTCTTACAAGAAAGCATAATTTTTGTTATTTGAGAAAATATCACAACTTCATATAAATCTGTGATGTGGACAAAATACAATCTAATCTAAACACTAATTTAAAATATTAATTTCTTTTTAAAATTTGTCTATATTTCTTGAAAACAAAAACTAAAAACACATTGTTTCTTCGACCTACTTTATGATTTTCATCCAAATCTTCTGAATCTTTAACGAAATTTGAAGTGGTTAAAAAAAGGAATGCATTTCTTGCTGCAGATTGTGACTTAACCACCACTTTGAACTGATATAAACATATAATACAGCAATTAAAGTTTATTTTTTTACTGCAACTGTCATGTTACCATGTAGTAAAGGTATACACCTAGTAATTAGCCTTTAGATTGGTGTCATCACACTCAATCTCCTGTTAGTTCACATTGATTAGTTCAAAACAGCAAGTGAAAGTCATGGTGTGGCCTTACTATGTGTGTGTGTGTGTGTGTGTGTGTGTGAGAGAGAGAGAGAGAGAGAGAGAGAGAGAGAGAGAGAAGCCATTTGGTGCCACGTTTCTTTAAGGTTTACATTTTGTGATATGTCCATGACAAATACACCCCCTGTTCCTGTTCCCCTCCTCCACCGCTGCTGCAGCTGCAACTCGTGGGCCCAGGCGGCACAAGAGAGCCTGTCACTGGTGATAGTGGATTTATCTCCTATAGAAGAACTCCAGCTAAACACTGCCTATCTCCCAGAAGGTGCCATCACGCACTGCT